GCTGCTGCTGCTGCTGCACTTGCTTTTACTGCTGCTGCTGCTGCACTTGCTTTTACTGCTGCTGCTGCTGCAGAAGACTCGGCGGTACTTCTTAGGAGGTACCCAGCTCTCGTCTTCGCTGTTGCTGTTGCTGCTGCTGCCGCTGCTACTGCTGCTGCTGCTGCTTGGCTGCAGCAAGCAAGGCTGTGTTTGGTGCTGCTGCACCACCACCCAGGGGAGCCTCTTGACAGCAGCGCAGCAGCAGCAGTTGCAGCTGTCTGCAGCAGCAGTTGCTGCTAATCCTGCAGGCGCCGCTGCAGCAGCTCCAGCAGCAGCTGCTGCAGCAGCTGCGCCGGGCTGCCTCGGCAGCACTGCAGCAGCAGCAGCAGCTACTGCTTCTTCTGTCTCGAGGCTCCGCAGAAAGCTGGCAGCAACCGGAACTGCAGCAACAGCAGCAGCAGCAACAGCAGCAGCAGCAGACCGCACCCGGCAGCCCAACTTCTTGAGGTGTACATACACCCCAAGGCTGCGGCGGAGGGGCACGGCGCTGCAGGGAGACTCACAGGGATGCCTACACCCCCTCTGCTGCTGCTGCTCCTGCTCCTGCTGCTGCTGCTGCTGCTGCAGCTGCTGCAGCAGCAGCAGCGGGTTTAGAGTGCGGCCAGTGCCCAGATCAAACAGCAGCAGCGAACACGCCTCTATTGCAGCAGGTATTTCCCACGGGTTCAGCAGCAACACGTTAATGCCAGCTGCAGCAGCAGCAGCAGCAGAATCTGCAGCTGGAGCTGCTTCTGCTGCTGCTGCTGCTGCAGTAGCTTTTCCCGATGGAGTTGCTGCAGCTCCTGCTGCTGGGTCCCCTTCTGTTTGGAGCTCTTGTGCCTCCTCAGCACTGCTGCTGCTGCTACTGCTGCCCTTCAGGCTCCCACCGTTGCAGCTGCTGCAGTCGCCGCTGCTGCTGCTGCTGCTGCTGCTGCTGCTAGGTGGGCGCAGGCAAAACTGAGTGCCCAGTCTCGTCCAGCAGCGGCCGCTGTAATAGAATAGGCAAAGGACGCTTTGCTGCGGCAGCCAAAAGCCAGCAGCAAATGCTGCTGCTGCTGCTGCAGCTTTTGCTGCTCTTGCTGCTGCTGCTGCTGCGCGTGCTGCTGCTGCTGCCCTGGCTGCTGCATGCGCCCGTGAACCGAAGAGCCGCAGGCGAGGAAGAGCAGCACAGAGAGCGACAAAACCCACACTTTCTAATGCTGCTGCTGTTGTTGTTGTTGCTGCTGCTGCTGTTGCTGCTGCTGCTGGAGCCACCGCTCCTACTGCTGTTGCTGCTGCTGCTGCTGCTGCTGCAGCTGCTGCTGCTGGGCCATCCAGAGTAGCCACAGCTGGTGGCGCTGCTGCAAAGCAGCCTTCCTCCATTTGCTGCTGCAGTGCAGTAGAAGATCTCGCTGCTGCTGCTGCTGCTGTAGCTGCTGCTGGCCGTGTTTTCGTTGCTGCTCGCGCTGCAGCAGCTGCTGCTGCAGCGCCTAGTTCTGCTGCTGTTGCTGCAGCCGGGCCTTTTACACAGCAGCAGCAGCAGCAGCCGTTGCTGCTTCCCGCCCAGCCGTGACAGCAGCAGCAGCAACAACACCAGCAGCAGCTGCTGCTGCTGCCGATTTAGCTGCTGCTGCTGCCGATTTAGCCGCTGCAGTTGCTGCTGCTGCGCTCAAAGCTAGTACCAGCAGCAGACCTTTAAACAAATAAAACCCAAATAATACCTTTCGAATTGTTGCAAATACCTTCTGGTACCCCTGGGGGGGCCGTGGGGCCTCGTGGGGGCCCCATGGGGGCCCCTTTGGGGGCCCCCCGGGCCCCAGGTGGGGCCCCCAGAGGCCCCTGGGGGCCCCCAAGGTACTCAGCACACACATGCTTCCAACAGTTTCTTTGATGTCTGTTGTAGTTTAAATTTGAAACTGCAGCAGCAGCCGCAGCAACAGCAGCAGCAGCAGCACCCGCAGCAGCAAAAAAGCGGTTTGTCTGCAGGGGCCCCCACCACCAAGGCTGCTGCTCTGGGGGCCCCCGGGGGCCCCCGAGTTCTCAGCTGTACCCTTATGCAGCTGACAAGGGCCGCCGCAGGTCGCCCTGCAGCGGCGCTGCTGCTGCTGCTGCCGCTGCCGGCGCTGCCGCCAG